GGAATTGGAGTCACAAGGTTGGCAAGGAAAAAAAGTAAAGGCCGAGGAGTGCAAGAGAAAAAAAACATTGATCAGAAATAAAAACAAGGACAGAGAAAACAGTGGCTGCAAAATGGTAGAGGGCCAAGAAAGTGTGGGAGGGGGAAAGAAATGCAGAGGCTGAGAAGGGCAGGAGGCCAAAATAAAGTGGGAGGCCAAAAGAAAAGTAGAGACAAAATAGTGGAGGGTGAAAAGGGCTGGGAGGCTGAAGAGGCACATGAGACACATGGGAAGGCTGCCCAAAGAGGGGTCTAAAGTTTAATGGGTTCCTCAGGCAGGACAGGCTCCCTGGTGGTGATAAGGCAGCACAATGTCCAATTGTTCTCCTGCACACCGGGTCAGCCCTGCTTCCCCTGCCTGGGCTCTGCAGGAACTCACACTTGGGATGGACAGAGCTGGGCTCTGCAGGAACTCACACTGGGGGTTTGGGCTGGACAGAGCTGGGCTCTGCAGGAACTCACACTGGGGGTTTGGGATGGACAGAGCTGGGCTCTGCAGGAACTCACACTTGGGATGGACAGAGCTGGGCTCTGCAGGAACTCACACTGGGGGTTTGGGATGGACAGAGCTGGGCTCTGCAGGAACTCACACTGGGGGTTTGGGATGGACAGAGCTGGGCTCTGCAGGAACTCACACTGGGGGTTTGGGATGGACAGAGCTGGGCTCTGCAGGAACTCACACTTGGGATGGACAGAGCTGGGCTCTGCAGGAACTCACACTGGGGGTTTGGGATGGACAGAGCTGGGCTCTGCAGGAACGCACACTGGGGGTTTGGGCTGGACAGAGCTGGGCTCTCCCCAGGGCTCCAGCCAGACCCAGAGCTCTGCAAGCCCTCTGGATAAACTTTCCTCCAGCTCCACCCAGCCCAGGGGATCAACCCTTCCTCCTGAGCTCCCTAAATGACTTTGGCCTTCCTCCCACTGCTGAGACCTTGATCTTCCTCCCAGCTGAGGCAGCTCCTGATGCAGCTGGCTCTGCCTCCTTGCCCTCACTCCCAACCAGCTGAGCCAAGTGGAGCCCAGGACCCCGGCACGGTGGGGACAGGGACAGGGAGCTGCTGCTGCCCTGTCAGGGGTTTCACCTTTGCCAAAAGGCCCAAAGGAGCCGGGAGGCTGCAGGTGCTGGCAAGGGAAGGGGGCGATGGGGACATGTGGACCCACAGTCTCAGCCTGACACCTGCACCCCCAGCCGGGGAGATTCCAGCCTGCAGAAATTTGTGTTTGGCATCTTTGTTTGGCTGAGAGCAGCTCAGAGCTCAGAGCGTGCTGGTGATGAGGAGTTTTGGCTGTCAGGCCCATCAGGATAATCCCTGTGGTGTTGTTTTGGCCATAAATCATATAAATTCTATAAATTCTATAAATTCTATAAATCATAGAATCAGCACAGAATGGTTTGGGTGGGAACGGACCTTAAAGCCCATCCAGTTCCATCCCCTGCCATGGCAGGGACACCTTCCACCATCCTGGTTGCTTCATCCCCTGCCCAACGTGGTCTGGGGATCCCTAATCATACCTAACTGCCCAGAGAAGCTGTGGTTTCCCCAAACCATTCTATGGCTCTGTGATTTATTTATTTTGCATCAAAAATGAACCATTTATAGTGCTGTGTCACTGCAACGATTTTCCTTTCTGTTTGTTGTTCTGTCTGATTGGGGTTTTTTTAGTTTGTTTGGTTTGGGGTTTTTTTAATTGTCCAAATATTGTGTTTTGCCATTTTAAATATTTGGGTTTTAGTATATTTCTATTCAAGTTCTGATCTGGGCTTCTGCTTCTATCCAGAGCCTCAGGAGAGTTTGCAGTAATTTGGAGATTTGTATTGAGAATTTGCAGTAATTTGCAGATTGTCATTTGGAATGATGCTGCCATCACTGAGCCACTCCTCCCTCCCAGGATTTGGGGGCACCTGCAGGGTTTGGGGGGTTTGTCCCAGCTGGGGGGAGCATCACGCTGTCCCCCTAAAGCTGTCCCCGGGGAAGGAACCTGCTGCCTCAGCACATCCCAGCCCGACCCTGCACATCGGAGCCCCCCCGTGCCCTGGGGGGATCTGTGGGGCTGAGAGAGCATGCCCTGGGCATCTGCGGGCATCCCGGGGGATCCCGGAGCCTCCGTGCCCCGGGGTGTGTCTGAGCATCCCGCGGGGCTCCGTGGGGCTGGCAGAGCATCCCCCGGGCATCTCCTGGGCATTCGCGGGCATCCCGGAGGATCCCGCAGCCTCCGTGCCCCGGGGTGTGTCTGAGCATCCCGCGGGGCTCCGTGGGGCCCTCGGGGGGTCTCAGCCCCCGCTCCCGCCGCCCCCCGCCCGCACCTACCGGCGGCTGCGCGGCGCTCCCGGCGGCGGCTCCCGAGGGCGCGGGGAGAAGCGGCGCGGAGCGAGCGGGGACGGTGAGGATGAGGAGGAGCCGCCTGGGGCGGGGGAGCGGCGGGAGGACGCGGGGGGAGGGAAGGGGAGGCTGCTCGCGTCCAGCCGCAGCGGGGCCGGGACCTGCGGCACCGCCAGCCCCGGGCAGCGCAGTGGGCGCGGCTGCGGGAGCAGGGGGCGCCAGGAGCGGGCAAACCCCGCGGAGCCGGAGCTGCATCGGCCTCCCTGCCCCTCTTCCCTCCCTGCCTTTCCCTTCCCGGCGGCCCTGGACATTCCTGCGGCGCTGGGTGTCTCAGTGCTCTGCGGGAACGCGATGACCTCCCTCACCGCAGTCAGCCCCGGGCAGCGGGGACGGGGTGTCTGCTCTCCTCATGGGGATCCCTGCCCTCCCCATGAGGGTCCCTGCCATCCCTAGGGTGGTCCCTGCCATTCCTAGGGCGTCCCTGCCCTCCCCATGGGCGTCTCTGCCATCCCTAGGGTGGTCCCTGCCATTCCTAGGGCGTCCCTGCCCTCCCCATGGGGGTCTCTGCCATTCCTAGAGGGGTCCCTGCCATTCCTAGAGGGGTCCCTGCCCTCCCGGGGGCAGCTGCCGAGAAAGGCCCGGGGCAGCCACGGGGCTGTGCCGGGCACGGCCGCGTTCCGCTGGCACCGGCAGAGCTTGGCCTTAAAAGCCGAAGTGTTCGGGAGCGCTGTCAGGCGGATGAAATGCAGCTCCGCGTCCCCGGGGACGGCGCTGGAGCCCGGGGACCGTGCGGGCTCTGCCCGTGCTGGGGGACACGGGTGGGCTCGGGGGGTGTCGGGGTGCCAGGGGTGATCTCGGGGCTCACAGGGTGGGTGCAGGTCGGGGTGCGGCTGTGCGGGGTGCGAGGTCGCTGCCGCAGCACTAATGAAGCCCTAATGAAGCGCTAATGAAGCACTGACGGAGCCCGAGCGATGATTTCAGCGCTTGGCCGGGCTCCACGAGCCTTTGATGCGGTGCTGTTTGGGCTGCGTTATCTAAAGCTCGCTTAGAATGGGCTTTTTAGCGGCGGCTCACGTGGAGCCAGCGTGTTTGGACAATGCCCGCGGCCCAGACCTTCGGATAAAACATTCCCGAGCTGGCCGTGGTCACCAGCGCCTGCTGGGGACAGCTCCGAGCGCTCCCACAGCGCAGGTGCATCCCGAGCTTTCCGGACATAGCTATAGACTTTTTTTCTTACCCTTTATTTTTAATAATCCCGCCCAAGATTTCATCTTGCTTTTTCAGAAAACAAAAAATAGGAATAACCAAACATTCCTGAATCTAACATAGGAGCAGGCCTGGCTTTGCCTCAGGCTCTCCTGGACTAAAGCCAGGGGGATTGTGAGGATGTGGTGAAGATTAGGAAATGCTGGTCCATTTTCTCCCTTGTTTCGGAGGTGCCGGGGCTGCCCCGTCCCTGCAGCCCAGCCCTCCCCGCCTGCCCGGCTGCCCCCTGGCCGTGGCTGGCACTCGGCAGCCCCGGTGCGGCGCTCTGCAGGCGGTGTCCTGCCAAATTCGTGTCCTTTGAGCCCGTCCCCAAGGCTGTGGCTCCGGGATGGAGCCAGGAGCCAGAGCGACGCAGACACAGAGCAAACATGGACCTGGGCAGCGGGATCTGTGCCGGGCACGAGGGAGAGGAGGCTCGGTCAAAACCCGGGCACCGACCGTGCTGCAGCGAGCCCGGAACCTGCACCGAGAACCACAGGGATGGGGACACTGCAGGGGTGGGGACAGAAATGGGGAACACTGCAGGTGTGGGGACACTGCAGGGATGGGGACAGAGTGGAAATGGAGAACACCGCAGGGGTCGGGACACTGCAGGGATGGAAACACTGTAGGAATGAGGGCACTGCAAGGATGAGGTCAATACAGGGACGGGGGACACTGCAGGGATGGGGACACTGCCTTGGCAGCAGCTCTGGCTCCCCCTGCCCTCCCCAGTCCAGCCCTGCCTGGGCAGTGCCAGCAGCACCTGCAGCAGGTGCCTGTGCTATTTCTCAGTTTCTCTGGATGGATTCGATGGGTGCTGCTGCTGCAGTCCCTCCCCTGTCCCTGCCTGTGCTCGCCTGACGCCCACCAGCCCCCTGCGCCCCGAGTCCCAGCAGTAGCAGCCCCCGGGGCCGTTGGGAAGCTCAGTGAATAATTAACCATGGAAGAAGCTGCAGGTGCTGCCCTGCCCGGCCCCAGCACAGGCAGTGCCTGTGAGGGCAGCTGAGCCCAGCCCCGCTGTCCTGGCGCCTCCTCATCCCCCAAACCACGGTCCCACAGCAGAGACAAGGTAAACAAAACTTCCTGCACGTTTAGAGTGGGACCCTCGAGATCCTGCAGTCCTGCCCTTGTTCCATCCCTCCTGTGATGATCCTGGGAGCCCTCGGCGGGCCCGGCTCAGCCCAGGAGGAGCTGGAGCAGCCCCGAGGTGCAGAGCCCGTCCCGCTCCAGCCAGCTCCCAGAGCTGGGGCAGAGGAAAGGACATCCAGCTGCTCCTCAGCACCGCACACGGGGAGCTGCTGAGCTCAGGAACCTGTGGGACAGCACCGCAAAGCCCCGGGAACGTGTGCGCTGTGCCAGGGAGGGAGTGCAGGATGCTGGGGTAGGAACTCACCTGAGCGGGCTCCAGGTGCGCAGGGCTGGGCTGGGCTGGGCTGGGCTGGGGGGCAGCGGGGCGGGCAGGGATGCGCTGGGCTCGCCCTGCCCCTGCTCCAGCTCCCGGAGCCTGCGGGGGCACAGCCCGGCCCCTGCGGCTCCCGCGGTGCCCCCGAGCCGGGCAGGGCCCTCTGGCACCGGGAGGGCACCGGGAGGGCACCGGGAAGGAGCGGCCCCGGGGCTGGCGCTGCCGCCGCGGCTCCGCACCCGCGCAGACGGGGAAGTATGGATGGATAATCCTGCGCCTTGCTATTTTTTTCCTCTCATGTGATCTTGTTTTTGGACGGCTATTTTGGGGCTGGACTCCAGCCCAGGTGAAAGACAAGGATCGAATCCAGCCTCCCCCTTCCCGGAGGCCTTCCCAGGACCTCTGCCCGTCCGCCCGTGGCACGGGGACAAAGCCTGCCACCATCCCTGCCGCCATCCCTGCCGCCATCCCTGCTACCATCCCTGCCCGCCGCAGGGCCCTTTTTGTCCCCTCGTGCCCTGGGCAGCCACGGGGGGCTGATGGATCCCGGCTGTGCCCAGCACACCGGCCCGGCCACCCGCCCTGCGACATCCCCAGGATTGGCACCGACACTGGCACCGGCCCCGGAGTGTCCCAGCAGCGTTCGCCTCTGGGTGCCCGTTTCCCCCAGCCCAGCCTGGCAGGAAGCTGGCGGCAGATAAATGCATTAAAAATATGCTCGGAGCGTGCGGCAGCCGGGGAGCCAACAGCGGCGAGCACTGGCGCTGCCATCAGCCCCCGGTGCCACCAGGGCCGGCAGGAGAGGGACACGAGGGACAGCGCAGGAGACGGACAGGAGGGGACAGCGCAGGACAGGCACAGGAAGGGACAAGGGGGGCTCTGAGGGCCGCTCCATCCCACGTGCAGCAGCCCCGATCTTGTGGGCATCCTGCCCTGCCTGCCCCGGGGTCTCCTCTGAGGACATCCTTGGGGACATCTTGGTGCCACAAGCTCAGTGCTGACCATTTTTATCCTATTTCTATCCAATTTGTGCCTTTCGACCCTGTGAATGGAAGCTGCAGGGGCCCAGTGGGGCACTGGGGAAGGGCAGCCTGGCTCAGAGCGTGCAGATGTGGGGCAGATGTCAGGGATGTGACACTGGATCTGGCTGTCCCCACGTGTCACTGCGGGCACACCGTGTCCTTCCACGGCGGGTGGTGGGAGGAGTGGGTGCCTAAACTGAGTCTTTGCATGACTAAAACTCGTTAAAGGTCCCCGTGATGAGTCTCAGGAAATTCAGATCTGGGAGAGGCTGGCTTGGCACTGACTGCACAACACCAGGGGCAGGTGACACGTGGCAGCAGGGGACAGGTGAAGGACAGACCCACCACGAGAGCCTCCAGTCAGAGGTGGGTGAGATTTGGGTCACAGAGAAATGGGTCATCTAGAGCTGGGCTGCAGATGTGAAAAATTCAGGTCCAAAAATTAAATGTCATTTATTTTTTCAGCCTATTTCTGAGTCTTTATTTTTTTAAAAAATATTAAGTATATGACAAATATATTATGTGTAGATTATATATGTAAAACTATAAAATTGCATTATTCTTATTAAATACTTATTTGTTTTCTTATTCCTGCTTCCCATTAAGTTTTATGTGAAATAAAGAATTGATCTCTGGCACTTACCAAGTGCTCTCTTTTTGTGCGGGACTCTCACCAGGGTCAAAGCTTTCCTCTTGCAGTCTCTCCAAATTAGGCTGTTTATCCTAACAAGGTGGCTTTTGGTGACCAGGAACTCCTACGGAGCCACTTTTTCCTTCAACGATCTTTGAAGAGGGAAGAGGGGGAAAGCCACTTTACAAAGGTAACAGAGATTTTAATGAGGAAAAATGAATTAAATGAGGAATGAGGAAAAGTGAATTAAATGAGCTGGGAAAACCCCGCGGCAGAGGGAGGGAGGCGCAGGGAGGCTCCGGGGCCGCCAGAGGGCACCGCGGAACCGCAGCAGCGCAGCTGGGCACAGCTGGATTGAAAGGGCACAGCTGGGTTTGGGCGGGCACAGCTGGATTGAGAGGGCACAGCCAGATGGGGCGGGCACAGCTGGATGGGGCGGGCACAGCTGGATGGGGTGGGCACAGCTGGATTGAAAGGGCACAGCTGGGTTTGGGCGGGCACAGCTGGATTGAGAGGGCACAGCCGGATGGGGCGGGCACAGCTGGATGGGGCGGGCACAGCTGGATGGGGTGGGCACAGCTGGATTGAAAGGGCACAGCTGGGTTTGGGCGGGCACAGCTGGATTGAGAGGGCACAGCCGGATGGGGCGGGCACAGCTGGATGGGGCGGGCACAGCTGGATGGGGTGGGCACAGCTGGATGGGGACGGGCACAGCTGGATTGAGAGGGCACAGCCGGATGGGGCGGTCACAGCTGGATGGGGACGGGCACAGCTGGATGGGGCGGGCACAGCTGGGTGGGGCGGGCACAGCTGGGTTTGGGCGGTCACAGCTGGGTGGGGCGGTCACAGCTGGATGGGGCGGGCACAGCTGGGTGGGGCGGGCACAGCTGGGTTTGGGCGGTCACAGCTGGGTGGGGCGGGCACAGCTGGGTGGGCAAGGAGCGGCGATGGCAGACACAGGACAGTGATTCTGTCTTTGCCGCGATCTCGAACGTGGCTCTCAGTCGCGGCTCCCTGGCCAGGACCCCTCTGCAGTTTCCCAGTCGCTGTTTCCCAGGAGGGAGCAGCCCCTGCTGAGGAATGACTCGCAGCCTTTGTGTGTTAACAGCTGACCTGAGACACTGACCCCAGCGCTGTTCACTCGCTGGGCATCAGCTCAGAGTCAAGAGCTGCCTCCCAGGGGGCTCTCCTGGATACCCTGACCAGGAGGCCTCTCTGTAATTACATTCCAGGGAAAACAGACATCTCCTGATTCATTTAATATGTGCCATGTTGCATTTAGATATGTACCAGAAGCCCCATTACCTTAAAAGTCCTGCTGTTATCAAGTACTGCCTTAATTACAGTTTTATCTAAAAATAGATCAAGTTATCTTGACAGAATCCATTTGTCCTCCTCCCCTGCCTCCCAGAGATGTCTCCTCCTGCAGCTCCTGCTCCATCATGACCAGCAGCAATCCCCTGCCACAGCCTTGTCCCGAGAGCTGCTCAGATCCCATGGGCACGTTTGCCATTCTTTCATCACAGCCCTCCAAAACCTGCCAAACACAGGATCACAGGCCCATGGAATGGTTTGGGTTGGAAGAAACCTTAAAGCCCAACTCGTTCCGGCCGCTGCCATGGGCAGGGACAGCTCGCAGTGTTTGTGTTTGTATTTTCATATTTGTATTTATATGTATCTATTTGTGTTGACTCCCACTGCCGGCAGGACTGGCTGGAGCAGGGATGGACCTGGAGGATCCCAGCTCTCCCTGAGGGCCCCTGGGGATGTTTCTTTGCCCCAGAAGGTTTTTGCTCCCTCCCTGGGTGAGGCAGGGCAGGGAGGGCAGCCCAGGACCCCGGCGTGGGGGCTCACTCAGAATGTCATTGCTCATTGCAGCACTGGATTTTCTGGTCTGAACCCATGGGGAAAACAGAACTGGGGCCGCTGTGTCCGAGGGCTGCTGCAGGGGATACCTCACTGCCCAAAATCTCCAAGAATTCCTCATTTTGTCTTTGTCAGCCCAGCTACTTGTGCAAACACTGTCAAGCCAGGGCTGGGCACACAAAGCAAGGTCGGTTGTGAGCCATTCTCCTGGAACAGAGGCATTTGGAGCCGGCACAAAGGAATCTCTGTCTCTCCCCTGCGCTGGCATCCTGGCAATTAACCCGGGGAATTGCAGCCCGGGCTGTCCTGGGCTGAGTGCGGGGCTGTGCGGGGCCTGCCCCGGCTGGGAATGGTGGATGGATGGATGGATGGATGGATGGATGGATGGGAACCCCTCTGCTTCCAGGGAGGGAGGGAAATCTGCTGGGCTTCTGCTCTGGCTTTGAGAGATGGAGGCCTGAAAAGCAGAAAAATTAGAGTCACCTAATCAGAGCATCATGAAGAGGCTGAGCTGGAAGGGAGCTCCTGGCCATGCATGGGACATTGCCACCAAGAACACCATGGATCAAACATGGGCAGAAGGGAACTGCTGGCCCTGCGTTGGACAATCCCACCTCACCATGGATCAAACATGGGCAGAAGGGAGCTCCTGGCCCTGCATGGGACATTCCCACCCATCACACCATGGATTCAATGTGTGCAGCCTGACAGAAGCCCCGAGCTGGTGCCATGCCCGAGGAGCAGCATCCCCACCCTGCTGGGCACACGGCAGTGCCAGGGGGAGCCCAGCCCTGCCCAGCCCTGCCCTGCCAGGACACAGCAGCCATCAGGGCTAAACACAGCGCCTGGGAAGGGCTGGTGAGGCAGATAATGTGCAGGCACAGGCTGTGACAGCCAGCTCCAGGGTGTCACAGCACTGCCACCACCGTTATCAACACGGTAATTGGGTGCCCAGGCTGGGCTGGTGTATGTGCAGGGGAAGTACTCCTGAGTAATTAAGGAATAGTCTGCATTTGTGTTTTGGGGTTGTTATATTAACTTTTTTTGTTTAATTTTTTGCTATGTAAAGCCCCTGGCAAACCTCCCTGCAGCTGATAAAGGCACAAGGAGTGAGGGAATTGAAGGTACAAAAAGGAAGGCAATGAGGAAGAGTGTAAGTCATGTTTAAAGGGTATTGTAGAAACTGCAGGTCACCCAAGTCCAACCCCGAGGAAACAAATATTTAATTGTACGGTAAATAACATATTTTTATGGTTCCAAACCAAATCTCAGAAGCCACATGAATATAAACAGGAATGAGATCAGCTCAGCCCTCAGCCCACCTGCATCTGCCATGGGATGGGGACAGCAAAGGGCCAAGAACAGGAGGGGAATGAACAGGGCCAGACCTGTTAGCTGGAAATTGTGACTGTTTGGGGACAGATTTGCAGGCAAAGGAACCACTGCTGTCTGCGAGGCAGGACTGGAGAGGAGACAGCTATGGGCATTTCCAGCTGGCCCTGGCAAGCTGGCACTCAGCTGGGCACAGGCAGAGTGGGCA